TAAACCACAACAGTAAAGTTAACAATGGCCAACGACAGAGAATAACAGTAGATTGGCTGTAAAATGATTAGAGTTGATCAACCACTGTCAAGATGGTTTATTTCTGTTTCAGGTACAGATTCTAGTAACAGTTTGCATAGGGAATGAAAGAATCCGTATCTTGTGTATACAGTTGAAGGAAGCTGAGGACACATGCAGCAGGCAGAACTACAGGCATGGAGTTTAGAGCAAGGTCCTTACTACACCTGAAAGGAACAAACCACAGTCAGCACCTGCTGCTTCACTTAAGTGCCTGCATACCAGTGTGTGTAGCATGGGAAATAAACAGGATGAGCTGGAGATCTGTGTACAGTCACAGGGCCATGATCCCACTGCAATCACTGAGATGTGGTGGGACAGATCACATGACTGGAATGCTGTCATGGAAAGCTATATCATCTTTAGGAAAGACAGGCTGTGGTAGCAAGGTGGAGGAGTTGCCCTTTATGTGAAAGACCAGGCTAGAATGTAGTGAGCTCCACCTGGTAGCGGGTAAAGAATGCGGGCTGGTATGGCTGACATCATTGTGGGGGTGTACTACAGCTCATCAGATCAGGAGGATGAAGACAATGATGCCTTCTACAAGCAGCTAGAAGTAGCCTCGCAATTCCGTGCACTGGTTCTCTGGACTTCAATCATTCAGATATCTGTTGGGTAAGCAACATGGCTAGGCACGTGAGATGCAGACACTTCCTGCAATGCATTGAAGATAATTTTCTGACACAGGTTGTGAAGGAGCCAACAAGACAGGGGGTGCTTCTGGACCTTGTTCTTTCCAAGAAGGCCAGTGGCATCCTGGGGGGCATTAAAAGGAGCATGGCCAGCAGGTGAAGGGAGGTGATCTTCCCCCTATACTCTGTCCTGAATAGGCCTCACCTGGAGTACTGTATCCAGTTCTGGGCTTCCTGGTTCAAAAAAGGCAGGGATCTCCTGGAGAGAATCCAGAGGAGGGCCACGAAGATGATAAAGGGCCTGGAGCATTTTCCCCATGAGGAAAGGCTGAGCAACCTGGGTCTGATCAGCCTTGAGAAAAGAAGACTCAGAGGTGATCTTATTTGTGGTTATAAATACCTTAAGTGTGGGAGTCAAAGAGACATGGACAACCTCTTTTCAGTGATCTGTGGGAACAGGACAAGGGGAAATGGCCATAAATGGGAGCATACGAAGTTCCTCAAAGTGAGGGCGACAGAGCACTGGAACAGCCTGCCCAAGGGGGTTGTGGATTCGCCTTCTCTGGAGATATTCAAGACCCACCTGGATGCCTACCTGTGCAGACTGCTGTAAGGGAGCCTGCTTTGCAGGGTTGGACTCAGTGGTCTCTGGAGGTCTTTTCCAGACCCCACAATCCTGTGATTCTGCAAATTAAAGCCCTCCTTTCTAAACACATTCTGTTTTGGCATTTAGTTCTTTTTTTCTAATATAGATTCCTCTACATACGTCCAAGATGCTCCTTCCTTATAGGCTGAATGTGTCTCTCATCTTGATGGGATGCATTTGTGATGATTGCATATGAGAAGGAATAGCTCTGTGCTTACTGATAGTCAATCAGATGGAAAGCAGCTTTGCAGAAAAGAAGCCAGCGTTCCTCACGGACAGCAAGCTGGCCATAAGTCTGCAGTACATCTTTGAAGCAAAGAAGGCCAACAGCTTCCAAGAGTGCAATAGAAAGATTGTCCTAGCATGTTGAGCAACTAGCATGTTGAGGGAGTGATCCTCTGCTCAGCACTGGTGACACACATCTGCAGTATGGGGTTCAACTCAAGGTTTCCCAGTGCAAGAAAATCACCAAAGAATGAAAGAACTGCAGAATGGTTGAGATTGGCAGGAAGCCCCTCTATTGAATCATAGAATCATAGAATCATAGAATCACCAAGGTTGGAAAAGACCTAAAAGATCACCCAGTCCAACCGTTCACCTATTCCCAATAGCTCCTACTAAACCATGTCCCTCAACACAACATCCAGCCTTTCCTTGAACACCCCCAGGCTCGGTGACTCCACCACCTCCCTGGGCAGTCCATTCCAGTGCCTGACCACCCTTTCTGAAAAGTAATACTTCCTCATGTCCAGCCTGAATCTCCCCTGCCGTAGCTTGAAGCCATTTCCTCTGGTCCTATCACTAATGACACGAGAGAAGAGGCCGATCCCCAGCTCACTGCAACCTCCCTTCAGGAAGTTATAGAGAGCAATGAGGTCTCCCCTGAGCCTCCTCTGCTCCAGGCTGAACATTCCCAGCTCCTTCAGCCTCTCCTCATATGGCCTGTGTTCCAGACCCCTCACCAGCTTTGTTGCCCTCCTTTGAACACGTTCCAGGGCCTCAATATCTTTCTTGCAGTGAGGGGCCCAAAACTGGACACAGTACTCGAGGTGCGGCCTCACCAGTGCTGAATACAGGGGAACAATCACCTCTCTGCTCCTGCTTGCAACACCGTTTCTGATGCAAGCCAGGATGCCATTGGCCTTCTTGGCCACCTGGGCACACTGTCGGCTCATGTTCAGCCGAGCATCAATCAATACCCCCAGGTCCATTTCCTCTACGCAGTCCTCCAGCCACACCGCCCCAAGCCTGTAGCGTCGCCTGGGGTTGTTGTGGCCGAAGTGCAGGACCCGGCATTTGGCCTTGTTGAAACTCATCCTATTGGCTTCAGCCCAGCTCTCCAGCCTGTCCAGATCCCTCTGTAGGGCCTCGCTACCGCCAGGCAGATCCACACTTCCAGCCAATTTGGTGTCATCTGCAAACTTACTGAGGGTGCACTCGATGCCCTCATCGAGGTCCTCAATAAAGATATTGAAGAGGACAGGCCCCAGCACCGACCCCTGGGGAACACCACTCACGACCGGTCGCCAGCTGGATTTGACTCCATTTACCACCACTCTCTGTGCCCAGCCCTCCAACCAGCTCCTTACCCAGCCAAGAGTGTACCCATCCAAGCCTCTGGCTGCCAGCTTCTGCAGGAGAATGCTGTGGGAGACAGTGTCAAAGGCTTTGCTGAAGTCTAGGTAGACCACATCAACAGCCTTTCCCTCATCCACCAGATGGGTCACTAGATCATAGAAGGAGATCAGGTTGGTCAAACAGGACCTGCCCTTCACGAACCCATGCTGGCTAGGCCTGATCCCCCGGTCACCCCGCACATGCCGCATGATCTCCCTCAAGACAATCTGCTCCATAACCTTCCCTGGCACCGACGTCAGGCTAACAGGCCTGTAGTTCCCCGGATCCTCCTTACGACCTTTCTTGTAAATGGGAGTCACACTGGCAAGCCTCCAGTCTTCTGGGACCTCACCAGTCAACAAGGAGCGCTGACAGATGATGGAAAGCGGCTCTGCTATCACCTCCGCCAGTTCCCTCAGCACTCTCGGGTGGATCTCATCTGGCCCCATCGACTTGTGGCAGTCCAGTTGGAGCAGTAGGTCTCTGACTGTTTCCTCCAGAATCACAGGGGGGTTAGTGTGCTCCCCAGCCGAGATTACCAGGTCAGAGAGAGGAGTATCCTGAGGATAACTGGTCTGACTTTTAAAGACAGACGTAAAGAAGGCATTCAGAACCTCTGCCTTTTCCTTATCCTCAGTGGTCACATTCCCAGCCTCATCCAGCAAAGAGTGGATATTCTCCTTTGTCCTCCTCTTACTGTTAATGTATTTATAAAAGAGTTTCTTATTCCTTTTCACGCCAGTGGCTAGGTTAAATTCAAGCTGGGCTTTTGCCTTTCTGATTTCACCTCTACACATCCTAACAATTTCCTTGTATTCATTTGGAGTGGCCTGTCCCTCTTTCCACAGGCGGTAGATTCTCTGTTTCTCCCGGAGCCTCAGGAATAGTTCCCTATTCACCCACGCCGGTCTTCTTCCCCGCCGGCTCATTTTGCAGCTCAGGGGGACTGCCTGCTCCTGCGCCCTTAAGACTTCCTTCTTGAAGAGCAACCAGCTCTCTTGGACCCCTTTACTCGCTAAGACTGAATGCCAGGGGACTCCCCCTATTAATCCCTTGAACAATTCAAAGTCTGCCCTCCTGAAGTCCAAGGTAGCAATTTTATATTCCCCCTCCAGGCTCCACCATGAATCACAAAGTCTATCATTTCATGATCACTCTGCCCAAGACAGCCTCCAACCTCCACATCTCCCACCAAACCTTCCCTGTTTGTGAACAGCAGGTCTAGTGGGGCAGTTCCTCTCGTGGGCTCTCTGACCAGCTGTATCAGGAAGTTGTCCTCTACGCATTCCAGAAACCTCCTAGACTGCTTCCTCTGTGCTGTGCTGTACTCCCAGCATATGTCAGGGAAGTTAAAGTCCCCCATGAGGACAAGGGCAGGCGACTGTGCAGCTTGTGCCAGCTGCTTATAGAATACCTCATCTGTCTCTTCATCCTGATTTGGAGGTCTATAACAGACGCCCACCAGGGTGCCTGTCTTGTCAGCCCTTCCTCTGATCTTTACCCATAGGGACTCAACGTTATCATCCCCAGTCATAACCTCAGCAGCATAAAAGCATTCCCTAACATAGAGAGCCACACCGCCACCCCGCCTTCCTTGCCTATCTTTCCTGAAGAGTTTGTAGCCATCCATTGCAGCACTCCAATTGTGGGAGCAATCCCACCACGTTTCCGTTATGGCAACTAGGTCATAGTTTGCCTGCTGCACAATGGCTTCCAACTCTTCTTGTTTGTTGCCCATGCTGTGTGCATTAGTGTAGACGCACCTCAGCTGAGCCCCTTGCCTCTCACCTAATCCCAATACCACTTCCCCAGGCTGCTCTCTAGCAGGCCTGGCTTTATCCCCCTCCCCCTTCCTATCTAGTTTAAAGCCCTCTCTACAAGTCCCGCCAGCTCCTGGGCAAGTATCCGTCTCCCTTTTGGAGACAGACAATTCCCATCAGCAGACCTCAGGCCAGATGCTGAGTAGACCACCCCATGATCAAAGAACCCAAAATTTTTGCGCTTGCACCAGCCTCTCAGCCATGCATTTACAAGATGGCTTTTCCTGGTCGTCTCAGCGCTTGTCCCTGCCACCGAGGGAATACTGGAAACACTACTTGTATGCCCGCTCCATCAACTAACTTCCCCAGTCTCCTAAAATCATTTTTTATAATCCTCTGGCTTCTAACAGGGATCTCATCACTGCCGGCCTGAACTATCAATAGAGGGTAATAATCAGAGGGGCGGATAAGGCTAGGGAGTTTTCTAGAAATATCCCTGACCCGGGCTGCAGGAAGGCAGCACACCTCCCTACGGGTAGGGTCAGGCCGACATATCGGACCCTCTGTTCCTCTCAGAAGAGAGTCACCTACAACTACCACTCTCCTTTCTTTCTTGGAGGAGGCAGTCTTTAAACGCGGAGCTGACCGCCTCACCTTAGGCAAGCTTGGCGGCAGTGCTCCCACATTATCATCAGTCACCACTCCCTCTGGTTTCAGAGTTTCATACCTATTACAGAGAGGGATCAGGGGAACCGAGGTAGGTCGAGAACTTGGGGGTTGCCTGCGACGCTGGGATGAGACCAGCTGCCATTCCTCATCTTCTCTCAAGCTGTCTCTCCCTGTTTGACTACAATGTGAGATAGGGTCCATTGTCCCCTCAGTCTGGGTAGTGCAATCTCTGCGCCTTTCTCGCAGAGAGTCACTCCACCAGTGAATCTCTCGCTCGCACTCTCTGATGGTCCGCAGTCTACCTACCTCCTCCCTAAGCTCCACCACCAGGTTGAGCAGCTCGTCCAGCTGCTCACACCGCACACAAGTGGCATCCTTCCCATCCTCCCCTGGCAGCAGCAGGCTGAGGCACTCCCGGCAGCCAGAGACCTGAACCGCCACATTATTAAGCAGACCCTCTGTCTGGGTTGCCACAGTCTTTGCATGGGAAGTACGTTTCCTGGTGAGGACCATGTCTGAAGAGGTGGTGTCAGGGCCTGTCAACAAAACTGCTCTGAAACTGCAAACAAAACTGCAACTGAAACTCTGCTCAAGCAGAGTGCCCAGGACCATATCCAGGCACCTTTTGAAGATTCCCCATGAGAGAAACTCCACAACATCTCTGGGCAATCTATTCCAATGTTCTATCACTCATACACAGCGCAGAAGTGCTTTCTGATGTTCAAAAGGAGCCTCTTGTGTTCTAGTTTGTGCCCACTGCCTGTTCTCCTGGCACTGGGCACCACTGAACAGACCTTGGCTCCACCTCCTTTCCATCCTCCCTTCAGGTATTTATCTATATTGATAAGATTCCTCCTGAGCCATCTCCAGGCTAAATAGCCCTGACTCTCTCTGTCTCTCCTCATAAGAGAGAAGCACCATTTCCTTGATCCTCCTGGTAGCCATCAAATGGATTGTTTTCAGTATGTTTCCTATACTGGGACATACTGGACCAAGTTGATGGACATACTGGAGTAAGTTCAATAATTAGGAGGCTGGAAGAAGCTGAGATAGCTTAGCTTGCCCTGTTCAGCCTAGAGAAGAGAATGATCAGGTAGATCATATCCATGTGTACAAAATACCTGGTAAATGAGAAAGAAAATGAAAGCAGACCTTTTTCACTTGTGTCTAGTAATGCAATAGACACAAACTGAAACAGGAAAGTCCATTTAAACATCAGAATAAAACCTGCTTTGAGGTGATTGAAGTCAAACACCGAACACAGAGATACCTCCAGAGATGCTGTCCAAACTCAGCAACTTTGTGATTCTGTAATTTTGAAAAGTCATTGTCATAACCTTGTCTTTCAGATTTTCCTTGGACTTAAAGTTTCTACATTCCAAATTTCACTTTTATGTGACAAAAACATACTCATTCTTCTTCAAAGGGAGTTTGACTAACGATATTATTTCACATATATATGTCAAAATGTAACCTTTCTGCCTGGTAGTGTAAGTACAAGGTCCATTGCTGTGCAGAACCAGTGAGAATATTTCCACAAGAAAAACAGTTGAAAATGAAAAACAAAACCAACAAATTTTGCTTGTTTCTGTTTCTAAATTTAGATGAGCTAATTCTTTTTTAAATAATCTGGAATTGTATTTGTTGTGCATGAAAATCATAACAAATGTTTGTTATAATAGAAAAAAATATATGTCACAAACATATGATTTTGGAATTGGCAGGCAAATAGCAATCAGCAAGACTGCAAGACTATTTTTTACAAACAAATATGATATTTCCATTGATTTGCAATTTTTTTTTTTTTTTTTTTTGTAAATAGGAGGAATTAAATTCAGTACAAAATACTTTGCCTCCTGACATGGTTCCAACTGAAGAGAAAAAAAGAAGAGAAGGAATGATTTGAAAAGGAAGATGCATGCATTTATTATTATTATTTTTTTCCACAGAGCCTGTTGCCGCAAGTTACTATTTGTCCAATTTGGTTTCTGTTATTAAGAAAGTTCAGTTCTGGAACCTCAAGATCTTCAGAACGTGTATTTCTCACTTCTTCCTAGTAGGTACATACACAGTGCAAGTCTTTAAAATATGCCTATATGACCATGGATTATCTTCATTTGTTATTTTTCAGACTGAGCCTTAGCTTGTTTTTCCATAACATTTGTATGACAGGATGAAAGCCATCTATAAACTACCACACAGAAAGAGAAGTGTGAGCAGATTCACTTAGATACAATAATCCAATAAAATACTTGCACGGTTGTCAACACAACTGCATAGATGACTCATACTTGGCCACCTAGGTAAGTCTTTCTGCAAAAGACCAAGTAGATCAACTGCTCCCTGGGTATGTACAAGCAGTAAATGATAAATGAGTGATGTGCTATTGCATACAATTGCTGCATAGCTGCAATATCTAGGGGGAAAAAAAAAAAAAAAGAAAGAAAAAAAGAAGAAAAAAACCAACTTGATTGTGTTTGCAAAATCCAGTGTACTTTAATACAGCCAGAAGCGCTCACATGGAAATACCAAAGAGCTGCTGCATAATAGCTCCATTTATTTTTTTATCTTTCAGATTGTTTTCACCTGCAAAATAGGTAGAATGGGAGATGAAACTCCCCACAGTAGTTTGTTTATGTCATGAAGATATCTTGCTGTGCCTTGTGGGTAGCAGCAGGTGAGAGAGTGTAGAGTCCTTGGTCTAGGAGAAGGTGGCTGTTTGTAAGTCAGCTAAGGAAAGAGTTCCAGTCAATGCACACTCTTTGTGAGCATAAGTCTCTGAGGAAATTGAAGAGATCAGATTAAAGTTGGCAGCTGTAGGAAAGGAGCTGGTGCATGCAGCAATAAGAGATCCCTTTCCCACCACAAGAAAACAGTAAAAGACTAGAGGAGAGACAGGTAAATTAAGCCAATAAATCACTACATAACCGTTTCCCAAGGCACACTGCTTGGCTTCAGTCACAGTAAGATTGCATATGTCCTTGGGGTGCATGGTTACAATCAATGACCAGGCTACCCAGAAAGAGCAGAAGAGACAGTGGTACAGACATATACCTTTCAAGATTAAGGGAGGAGAAATGACTTAAAGATCTCCACAGAAAGGAAGTGATTAAACTAGATAATTGATCATTCTGAAGAGTTGAGATTTAAATACAAAGATTCATTATCTTTTGGAATATTTTGTTTCAGTTTATTCAACTATCAATGCTTTGGTGGTTTATTGAATAGTTAAATGATGCACATAGTCTGTAAACATCACATTAATACATTTATGCCATGGGTGATTGCTGTGGTTCAAGCTGAAATATATATCCCCAGAAAGTCTAGAAACTCCAGCTTTGACTCTCTTATTGTTACTAACCTATTATACAAAATACTTTTATTCTCCTGGGAATTCAAAGAAAATGAAAAAAATATGCATTTTTTTTTGGTATATGAACTGTCAAAAAAACTATAGAACAACTCTGAATACCATGATAGATCAGTAGATAATGTGTTTTTATATTTATTAAGATGATATAAAACAACTTAACATATTCAACTCTAAACAGCTACTTTTTTTTCTGAAGCTGAAGCTGACTGCCATGTAGATAAGATAGCAACAAAACAATGATAAACGTGCCTAATTCACAAATAGCTTGTGAATGATGGGAATGTCAAGACCCCAGGTGCATCAGATGTCTGTTTCCAGTGCTAAAAGCCAAACCATTTTTTAAAAAAACACCAAAGTCTAAGCTTTGAATTTGCATCTTTATTGCCCTGAGTGTTAAATTTGGGAACCCTTCTGAATTTTCTATCAGGGAGCAAAAGAACTGTGCTTTGGCTGTTTTGGAGAAGCATAGATCAGTGACATATATGATTTCTACTGACATTCTGCCTTTCTAGAAAAAAATGTGAGATATGCTACCAAAGCATGACCATGAAACTCAAGCACAGGTTAGCTTCAGTTTAGCCCATGCTGGCTGATCATGAATGGAAGTCAACTCCTTTCACCACAAGTAGTTATACACTACAGAGTCAGAAATATGTTTATTATCAGAAATTGTTAAATTTTAAAACTAGAATCATGCAAGGATTAATAGCTATGTATGCACTCTCAGCATACATTCCTCAGAATTCTTCTATTTCTTTTCTTTCAATTGCTCAAGCATCCCTTCACTACAATTCATTTTCAGCTGGAATGACAAGAACATAAAAGAGGCCAAGGACAAACAGCAGATCAGAGAAGGTAGAATGCTTAGAAACAGAGAGCTAAAATATTACAGTATATTTCATCACTGATGATAACACTTTATCACTGTAGAAGGTGTATGTAAATACTGGATTGATTTTCTGTATGGAACAGATCTGACTTTGGCCTCAGTAATAAAAATATTTAAATATAACTGAAGAATAATTGATGCGTATGGTTTGACAGTACAAAAAAAATTAAAAAAATGCATATAAAAGTGAAAGGGATTATTAAGTACATCAGTAAGATATATGTATAGACATGTTTCTCATAAACTCATGTTTCTTTGCAAAGTATCTCCTATTAGCAGAGCAAAAATTCTGCTTATGCTCTATTCTGATTCATTCCATGAGAAGTGCTTCTGATTTAAAAGGAATAAGTATAGTTTTTGAACACTGAATCATTTGTCTGGCACCTAGATATTTGATTGATACTAAAGAATGACAGAATTGTTGAAGTTGCAATGAACCTCTGGAGGATCTTATCAACCCCTGTTCCAGCAGGAACATCCAGAACAGGGTGCCCAGGACCATGTCCAGGCATCTTTTGAGAACTTCAAGCAGCAAGAGTCCCCAGCCTCTCTGAGCACCTGTACCAGTGCTTCGTCACACAGCACAGGGAACATTTGTGCTCCTGTTTGTGCCCAGTGCTTCTTGTCCTAGCACTGGGCACCACTGAAAAGAGTCTCGCACCACCCTTTTTGCATCCTCCTTTCAGGGATTTTAGCCATTGATGAGATCACCCTGAAGCTCCTTTCCTCCAGGCTGAACAGCCCTCATTCTCCCAGTCTCTCCTCACAGGAGAGGTACTCCTCTCTTGGTAGCCTTTCACTGAAACATCTCCAGGATGTTTAGGTCTCTCACCGAGGGGTCCAGAACTAGAGAAAATATTCCAGATGCTGTCTCACCAACACTACGCAGAGCAAATGGGTAGACTAGAAAAAAACTTGAAAGATCACTTTTGGTGTAATTTTGAATGTTCCTGATGTGTTATACAAAGGAAAAAAATCTTCCAAAAAGAGAAAAGTATTTGCTCAACACTCATCATCATTACCCAGCAGGTAGAATAAAATAGTACTTAAAATTGCCCATTTTTTTCCATCCCACCAGTCAATTCCCCTCAGTTTTATAGCTTTTGCATGATATCATGTGTTATGATGCATCTTTTTGGCCAGTTTTTGTCAGCTGTCCTTGTTCTGTCCCCTCCCAGCCCCTTGTGCC